GGAAGGGTTAATGGTGTATTAAAGAAAATTAAAAGGGGGAGAGATATGAGGGATGGCCGGCCATGTAAAGAGGGGAGAGGTTGGAAATTTAAGTAGGTGGGGACCGCAATTGATTAATCAAAATCTGAAATTTAGATTTCAGATTTTAATTATATCGTGTAACTCCCTAATTTAATGAAAATTGGGAGGGAATTTGAATTTCAAAAGGTTGTAACTCCCCTTAATTCATTCCCCAATTTAAGTGGCTCAATTAGGAAAGTCATTAAGGGATGGAAATTCAAATTAGCAAGGGGCCAAAGGGGGCCGGCGGTATGGGCTCACGGTGGCTGGCGGCAAGGGGATCTGCGGGGGCCGGCGGGAGGGGCTCTACAGGCCGGCGGGTAGAGCTGTGCAGGCCGGCGGTTGGCTGGCAGGGGGGGCTCTGCAGGCCGGCGGGTAGAGCTGTGCAAGCCGGCGGCCTGGATAGCTCCAAGGGGTCTGAGGCAATAGGATGAGGGGAAGGGGAGAGGTGAAAATCTGAGGATTTTCGTTGCTTTGATTCCACTCACCTCGCTTCTCTTCAATACTCGATCTCCACACAATAATCTTTGGACTAAATCTAGAACTCATGAAGAGATCTAGTTTTCCCGTTGAACTCACTAAGAGATCTAAGGGAAGTGCACTTACAAAGAGAACAAAGGGAAATATCTTTCATTCATCAAAACTAAAACTTTTACAATACATGATGCCTCATATAAGGAGGTCCAAAATAATAAAACTGAAAAGATAGAAACGCCCTCTGGGCTATATAAGCGAAACAATGCCTCAGGGGCAAACTAGGAAAACTAAAGAAAGTACACATGACATAAGCTGTAATTAAATCAGAAATAGAGACTCTGGATCATAGCCGTCGATCTGCGCCACCGGCGATGGTACACGTGTCGAAATCTGATGTCCCTATCATTCTCCCCAGGTGGGAGAAAACTCGACCCCGTCGAGTGAGTGTCTCTAGAAGCCTCGTACCACTCCAGCAAGTCTGGGTCCAATTTTTGTAGCTCATCTCGGTCGATTCACACGTTCTCCGTCTCCGGCTTTTCTGCCCATTGAACCAAGTACCTTCGGCGACCACCGTCTTTAATAGAAATGATTTCATCGCTAAGTACTGCCTCAATCCTCTCCGCAGTAGGTAAAGTGGGAAATTTTGGGAGTGGGGGTAGGCTGGGATCTCACCAGGTGGGGACTCACAAGGCTCATCAAGTAAGGGATTGGGTGGGTTAAACTCGGAACCCTCATAGGTTACAATATCTTCAATGTTAAAAGTGGGGCTAAAGTTAAAACCTTCGGGAAGGTAAAGCACATAAGCATTACTGTTTATTTTAGAAATTATTCTGAAAGGTCCCGCGCTTCTTGCGTGTAATTTCTTAACGGTCCCTTGCGGGAACTGCTCCTGACGAATTCGAACCATCACATAATCTCCTTGTTCAAATTCTTTGAACCTTCTCTTGAGGTCCGCATTGAGTTTATAGTTAGCATTGCTCAATTCAATTCTTTTATTTATTTCTTTGTGCAATTCTTGTAAATGCGATGCAAATGCAGATGCTGACTCAGATGATCTAGACTTATGACTCATGGGAATTAGATCTATATGTTGCCTAGGTTGGTATCCGTACATGACCTCGGCAGGACTCAGACCCGTGGTTCTGTTGACAGAATTGTTATAGGCAAAGGCAATGGGCAACTTAGAATCCCAGTCTCTAAGGTTTTCACCTACTAACGTTCTTAAAAGGTTTCCTAAGCTTCTGTTAACGACTTCAGTCTGACCATCAGTCTGAATGTGGAAGGCTGTGGAAAACTGTAATTTCGTACCCATCTTAAACCATAATATTTTCCAAAAATAACTCGTGAACTTAACATCCCTATCAGAGACAATAGTCTTCGGTAGCCCATGAAGTCTCACAATTTCGTCAAAGTAGAGCTTAGCAACCCGGGAGGCATCAAAAGTTTTAGAACAGGGGAGGAAATGGGCCATTTTTGAGAATCTATTGACGACAACACAAACAGAATCGTGCTTTCTCAAGGTCTTAGGCAATCCTAATACAAAGTCCATACTTACATCCTGCCACGGGCAATTGGGCACGAGGAGTGGTGTATAGAGGCCCATATTTTTCTTACATTGTTTGGCCAACTGGCAGGTGTGACACCTCCGTAAGAGTTTGCTGACGTTACGTTTGAGGTTGGGCCAATAAAATCGATTTTCTAGCGTGACAATAGTCTTGGCTTGCCCGAAGTGGCCAGCTAAGCCTCCAGCATGTAACTCCCGAACTAGAAATTCTCATAGTGAAGTGTTGGGAATACAAAGTTTTTGCGACTTGAATAGATAGCCATGCTATACAAGAAAATCATTTATAACTTGATCTTCTCCGCTGATCAGTAGGGAGTATGTTTCTTTGAAATCAGGGCAGTCCAAGTAATCCTCCTTAAGGCGTTCAAATCTGGTAACCTCAGTTTTCATTCATTGAGTAATCATCAGCCTCCTGCTAAGGGCATCCGCAGCTTTATTCTCAGTCCCAGCCTTATGTCTAATCGTGTAAGTGTACTCCTGTAAGAATTCAACCCAACGACCATGGCGGGCATTGAGTTTCTTCAGCGAGTTAATGTACCTCAAGGCTTCATGATCCGAGAATATCACAAATTCTTGTGGTAATAAGTAGTGTCTCCAGTATCTAAGGGACTGTATTACCGCATAGAATTCCTTGCCGTAGGTAGAATACCTTTGACGAATGTCGTTTAGCTTCTCAGTAAAATATGCCACAGGGTGTCCCTCTTGAGATAAGACTCCTCCAATTCCAATTCCAATTCCTGATGCGTCACATGTTACTTCAAATACTTTAGAGAAATCAGGGAGACACATAACAGGGGCTTCTCAACCATTTTCTTCTTAATATTTTTAAAGGCCTTTGTGGCAGCTAGTGTCCAATGAAATTCTCCTTTCTTGAGGCAGTCAGTTATGGGTGCCACTATAGTGCTAAAGTTTCTAATAAACCTCCTATAGAATGTGGCCAATTCGTGAAAACTCCGAACATCTCTAATATTCTTAGGTTCAGGCCACTCATTAATTGCTCTAACCTTCTCAGGGTCGGCTGAAATTCCTTGAGATGAAATTATGAATTCGAGAAAGGTAACACTATCAGTGAGAAACACACACTTCTGAGTGTTTGCATACAACTGTTCTTTCCTCAAAATCTCGTAGACCTGCTTCACGTGCTCCAAATGTTGGTCTACCGATTTATTATAGATCAACATATCATCGAAGTAGACGACAACGAATTTTCCGAGGAAAGGTCGAAGGACTTGGGTCATAATTCGCATGAAGGTGCTAGAAGCGTTACTAAGACCAAAGGGCATAACCATCCATTCATACAACCCATCTTTTGTCTTAAAGACCATTTTCCATTCATCACCCGGGCGGATTCTAATCTGATGATATCCGCTTTTAAGATCAACTTTTGAGAATAGTGTTGCTCCAGTCATCATGTCTAACATGTCGTCTAGTCGTGGGATCGGAAAACGGTATTTCACAGTAATCTTGTTGATAGCACGACTATCAACACACATCCTCCAAGAACCGTCTTTCTTAGGAGTTAAAAGGGCAGGAACGACACACGGGCTAAGGCTCTCTTTGATAAATCCACGTTGTAGAAGTTCATCTACTTGCCTTTTTAATTCAGTGTTCTCCGTTGGGTTCATCTCCTTTTTTGCCATTGTGTCATGTTAAGAGTCAAATTCTCATCTAAATATGATAAAGAAAGGCCATTTTTAATATTTTCTAACCAAATCTTTGTAGGTCTACCTCTGCCTTTCTTAACATAAGTCAAATATAATACATCTACTTGCCTGATCGGATCATCGGAAGGCCGCCATTTTTTGTGACCAAACCATCTAAGGCGACTCTTTCTAATCTTATCTTCTACTGGAGCTACTCTAACCTTTTCAAGCATATGCTCATTTCTTATCCTGTCTCTAAGAGTAAAGCCACTCATCCACCTGAGCATCCTAGTCTCTACAACACTTAACTTAATATTATGCTTCTCTTTTAATGGCCAACATTCTGCACCATAAAGCATTTCAGGTCTCACTACCATCTTATAGAATTTACCTTAAGTTTGAGAGGGTCTTTTTTTCACACAACAAGCTCGATGTATTCCTCCAATTCAACCATCCAACTTGAATTCAGCTAATAATATCTTCATCCATTTCACTATTACACAGAATAATAGATCCAAGATATCTAAAACGTGTACTCTTATTATTGAGCTGATCACCCAAAGTCACAATCCCCCACTATATATATTATTACTAAAACTACACTATATATATATATTCAATTTTAGATCTACTCAAACGAAAACCTTTGGACTCTAAGTTTGACCTCCATAATTCAAGTTTTCCTTCAACTCCTCTATTCTTATCAACAAGAAGAATATCATGAACAAAAACACATACACCAGGGTACAATCTCTTGCAAATTTATAGTGAGAACATTCATGACTAAAGCAAAAAGATATGTGCTTAAGGTTGATCCTTGATGTAATCCAACTAAAATAGGAAAATACTTTTTGTACCACTTTTCAAGTGTAGATACCATATGCTTTGCTGGGTACATCTTAATTGCAAGCAACTTTGTTTTTAAGGAAGAGAAGCTTGAATCAGATTTTATTACATAAGAACATGCTTGTGGAACTTTTTTGCTCGTATGCTGCATTAATCATATAGAATAGAATGCTATGCGAAGATTTGCTTTGCTTTTACATTTTGATAATCCTATTTTAATTGCTTTTTAAGTATATTTGACTAAATAACTTTATGCATGCCTTTGGTAGAGACCTTTGATTGCTTTTTTTTTTGCTTGTAAACATACCCTTTTAATACGTCCATCTTCCCCTCTATAGTTGATTTATCATAAAGTTAATGCTGATTCTATGGATCTTCTTTTGATTTTTGTTCTTCTTTTGATCTTTCAGGGTTGGTATAATTATATAATACCAAAGATACTGTATGCAGTTATGGATTTGAACCTTTCAAGATTCACTAATCCCAAGGGTTCAAGTTGTTCCGCAACTCAAAACTTATATGTGGCCAATTGTGGTCCAGCTGTAGGCATATCATTTGAGGATATCAAATCTGTCTTTAGTATCTTTGGAGAAGTGGTTGGGATTCATGCTGCTGATGATAGCGGCACTCGTGTTATTGTTTGCTATTCAGAGTTAATTGCTGCTAAAGCGGCTTTTGAAACTTTAAATGGATGTCGTTGTGGAGCCCTTGGTGGACGAATTTTGCATATTCGCTACTCAATTCTGCAACCACCACCAAAGGTTTTGCATATATGACTATCTTCAAGTTTGATAACATTTCCTCACAGTGTGTCATGTATCTTGTTTTAGAGCGTTGTACTTTATCATCATGTTTGATATAAGTGCAAATTATTTATATTTATTTAACTGCTGGTTAAGGGCTTGAACTTTGCCTTCTTTAAAAAAATGATTAAGGCAACATTGAAACATGTTAGCATACATTATAATTTCTATTAGGCTGTTGAAAACATCATCATCATGATGATCAACATCATCTTTATCATCATCAAATTCCTGTATATTATTTAGAGTATATGTGACGCACGAAACCATAATTGTCACTCAAATCTTTTTTTTCATTTGGACTTATAATTTGACCAGATTAAGTGAGGTGGCACTAGATTAAGCAGATCCATGCACCCTAAAGATTCTAATTGCTAGGATGTCAACCAAAAAAAAAAAAAATGAATGACAAAATCATGCTAAGATGAGAAAAGTGCAATGTTTGATCCAAGTCTTAATGTCTAAAGGATTGGTTAAATTTTAAATGGGTCTTGATGCAATATTGTACGAGAGTTGATGACAAGCCAATGAGTATTCGTTTCCTTTCCCTCATTCACAATTGTTAGAATTCCTCTGTAAATAACTATAGTTTGTTGCCCAAATACTAAAATTACTATTTATTGGCGGATTTTATTCATTTGAAGCCTTTTAAAGAAAAAAATGTGTAGTCATTTGAAATCATCCAATTTTAGCTTTTCTTGTCTTTTTTAGCATACTGGGTTGAAGAGCCGACCATGGTGTCCCATACTCCACCCATATATGTCTTTCGTTATATGGGGGTAGTTTTAGCACATTTTTTTGATAGCTCATTCACAATTGCTTGAATTCCTTTGGGCAAGGGTCATTCAAAAGCTAAGCGAAGTTTTCATTGGATGCATTTCAAAAGACTATTAAAATGATTTTTTGGACAAAATATCTTGTTTGTTTAAAAATAAAAGTATACAATCATATAAAAAGAATGATCAAGTGTCCTGCATGTCCCATCAAATAAATTGAAAATAATTAACATAGCACAAATAGAATTCATAGGGGATTTGATAGCTCGTTTGCGTGCACAAACAAAACCATTTCAACATCAACAACATAAAGCTTTTATCCCACTATGTGGGGTCAGCTACATGAATCCTTTTTCTCCATTGTGTTCGGTTGGACAATTTAGACATCTCAAACATGCAGGTATAGTAGGCATAGTCTATTTTGCGCAACATCTAATTTTTGAGTGATTTTTTATTTATGCAATGTGTCACACCCCATTTTGACCCCCCTATAGTCAATTTAGAGTGTAAGAGAAGGAGAATTTGAATAGATTTTTTTTATTACTAATAGTAATACCTATTATAAAATACTTCTATCATAATCAGGGAGTAAGAAGTAGCTATTTAGAATATCCTAACGTATCATAACATATCAAGCTTTATACTTTATAATAAGAAGCATACGTGATATACTTCAAATAAAATACACATCTAAATTGAAAAACAGAGATTCACTAAAACTTTTTCAACTTTACTTACATACCCAAAAGTCTGTATAGCTCTTACTCAGATATACCAAAAAAGTATATGTACACAAAAGAGTAGTCAACTGGCCTGACCACTACCCAACTGGCTCCTTTCCCATGCTTGTAGTACAACCATTACTAATGAGCTAAAGCTTAATAAAATATGCAATCAATGTATAAGAAATAATAATATTTTGACAATTAATTTAAAACACATGTAAATTTTATACTGGTCATAAGAATACATAACATTACTTTCTTTCTTGTTTACTATTCAATACCTTTATATAAGTCATATGATGACTATAGACTTTTGCACCGTTCTAGCTTTTTAATTTAAAATTGGTTTTGAATTCTCAACTTTTAGAGTTAGAAGTTGTTTTCTCATTGAATGTTGCTATCATAATATAAAAAATATGAATTTGCAATTATATAAAATTTTACTATTTTCTATGCATCTTTTGGGTATCTTGCATCGCTAGAAATTTGTTCTCCTAGACACTGTCTTTTTTTTCTCTTGTATATAATCTCAATTGTACTGTTTCTCATTTAAGAATGACCTTTTCTCTCTTTCAAAACTTTTTTTTTCTACTTTTTCTTATAATTCCTCTTCTTTACAGTTTTCTGCAACCAGTTCATCCTTTTACTTAGAAAATTCAGCAATAGCCCACTTTTTCTCCGGATTTCAGCTTCACAACAGCAACTTTTATAAGATTTCAACAACATTACAGCAGCTCTTACTCTTATTTCCAATGTTCCAGCACAAAATAGTAAATAACAACCTTTATCTTGATGTTTTAAGCAAACAACTTCACTTTCAACAGTAGAAAACATTCATTTTTTTCCTTAAATTCAACAAATGATCTAAATTTCTAGAATTTCAGCTAATACAATCAATAGCCACTGATTTCCTCACCTTTATGCTCTGGCTACAACACTCCATAACAACAGCCTTCTTGATTTTTGAAGTCCGCAACAACTAGCAGCACCAGCAACCCCTCACAAATTTTCCCTCAGCTTTCACTGAGAACCAGTGCGGCTGTGAAGGAATGAGGGAAATGCTTTAATGCTTAAGTTAATTTGATATAATATTGCTATATTCCACTAATAATATTTTAATATGCTGTAACTCCCACTAATTCTTATTACTAGCCGTGTGATCCCACTCCCAATCATCAGTCCATTGCATGTTGGTTTTAGTGGAATTGTTGCAGTGTTTACAACAATTAACAATTGCTTTAATTAATACTATTAACAAATAATATTTAATTAAATGATATAAAAATGTTAATTAACTATTATTAAGCTATTAAATGAATACTTATATACAATTATATATGAAAATAATCAGAATTTAAAATAGAATTTAATCAAATTAGATGGGCATTTTTCATAAGTGGGGGAAAATAGGGTAAAATTTTGGGGCAAATTGCATGCTTACTTTTTGAAAAACTTTTTAGTGTTATACAATACATTTGAAGTTGAAAATTTTTGAGGTTGCATTTGTTGGTTGTCATTTTCGTCGTGTTTGCTCATGCTGATTTGTCGAGTAGTTGTGTAGGTCAATGTTACGCCTCGGTCGAAACCAGCCTAGGAGGGGACGATTCAGACGTATAGGAGGCGGACTAAGCCGCCTCCTCTAAACCCCACCGCCTAATCAAATGGGCCCCACCTCCTTGGGCGGCAATACGAGAGAGAGAGAGGGCGGTTTAAGCAAGAGGAGGGCATTTTGAAATTAATTTATATTAAGAAGCTTTTTATTAGGAAGGATTGTATTTAAAGAACATGAGCGGCTAGGGTTAAGGCATGCTTGATTATTGTTTCTCTTGAAGTTCTCTTTGGTGTCTTGGGCTCTAGGCTTATCGTCTAGAGATTGGGAGAGAACGATCCTCCTCTCGAATTGAGGATCAATTGTATCTTTGTTTCGCTCTTGCTTCGCTTTGATTTCTATAAAATTATCTACTGATTTTGATTTCTTCCACTCAACTTCATCTATTTTTCTTGCTGAATTTATCGATTAATTTTAGCCTTGCTTGCGAACTCAAGTATTCCGATTAGGGTTACTTGCGAAATCAAGTAATTACTATCAAATTGGTATTAGAGCAAGTCTTTGGGCCATTGGTGGGTTGATTTAGGCAAATTTCAGCAGCTGATTTTTGGCCGAGAAAGGAAAAAGTTGTTGTCTTTGTGATCCAAATCCAGAATTTTTGAACCTACAAAGATCCGGATAGGGATGGCGGCCAAGAAAGTAGATGCGTTAGAAGAAAGACTTGAGAGGGAGATGAACCAAATCAAGACAACAGTGAAGGAAATGATTCCTCCATGGAAGGACAAGTAGCCGATCTCCCGGAAATGATGAAGAAAATGTTGGAAATCTACAACCAAACGACGACTTCTATGGAAAAAGGGGCGAATGGAAAAAAAACAAGAATTCTGAAATTCGTAGGGAGGAAGATGAGGCGGAGATTGTGGAGGGAGAAAGAAGGAAACCCTATCTGGAGCCTTTCCAGAGGGAGTATAGAGGAGGTAAGTATGTGGAAAGGAATGGGTATGGAGGGTTGGAGCATAGAGATGTTGATTGGGAACGGCGGGAGGGACATTTTTGTTTCTGAGGTGCTGAATTTGAAGGAAGGAGAGGGGAATTCGAAGGGGTTTTGGGTTATGATAGGTCAAGAGAAGATCGGGAGACATGGGGAGGGCCAAGCACTTGAGAAAGGGGGAGCTATGGAGTAAGGGGAAATGGGAGAGATCAGAAGGTGAGGAAGCTGAAGATGCCCATATTTGCAGGGTAGGATGCGTATGGGTGGATTTATAAGGTGGAGAGGTACTATGCTGTAAATGGACTAATGGAGGAGGAGAAGCTAACAGTGGCGGGCTTATGTTTGGAGGGGAAGGCGCTGTCATGGTACTAGTGGAGAGACCAGAAGAGACCCATTAGGAGTTGGTGGGAGTTCAAAAAATGTATAATAGAACATTTCCAAACTAATCGGGGAGGAGATTTCTATGAGCAATTCTTTGCGCTGGTGCAGGAGGGATTCGTAGCAGACTACCGTAAGCAGTTTGAGCACTTGGCCAGTAGGGTGGAGCGATCATCATATACTGTTTTGGAGGGAAACTTCTTGAAAGGGTTGAAGGTAGAGATCAGCGCAGCAGTGAAAGTACTGATGCCTCGTGACTTGGGAGAGCCTATGAAGTTGGCACAAATAGTTGAAAATTAGAGAAATCTAGAGAGGGAAGCCAAGGGTAGCAGCTCAGGAGGCATTTACAGGATGACAACCACCCACTTAACACCTAAGGGTCCTGTAGCAGGAGGAATTCGGGAGACCACTAGAGAAAAGACAGGAGGGAGTGGGGGAAACTTCAAGAGGCTGATAGAGAAGGAGATGCATGAGAAGAGGACAAAGGGGTTGTGTTTTAGGTATGATGAGAAGTACATACTAGAATATAGATGTAAGGA